TCTGGAATAGCTGTACAATCCATTCTTAGTCATCCGTTTAAGTGACCTTACCCTACTTTGGGGCATGGAAGTTGTGGCTCCTGTTTGACTAATAAGCACGGCATCGTGGTGAACGCCTTTCTCCATAAATCTCGAGGCCGACTTCTATTTATTAGATCTCCCCGGGGGGGGAGTTAGTGGGGCAAGAAGCACGAACAGTTTCAAGGCCTTGAAAACCTATTTTGCGGTTGTTTTCTAGAATGATTGCCCCGTTTACCCTACCGCCGTAGGACCTGTGAACCCCACCCCCGTTTCTTAAAACTCTTGCTGACACTGTGTATTACTAACTTAAAAAACCAAAACCCAAAAGCCTTTCTGAAGCCGTGTTTTCCCACGGCGATGCCTCGCTCTGCGGTCACCGGTACGCTGGTTGATACTTCCCCTTGTTGCCAGTGGGAGGAAGATAGGGCCCCAGACAGCAGATGGGTCATCCTTGTCCTGGGTCAGGTTCATGGACGAGCCGAGAAAAAGCAGGGCTGCAAGGCAGGCACCGGGCCCTCTTGGTCGGAGCCCCTTTTTGCAGCCGGGGTGGAAAGCTTCCTCCCCGGCACGTCTCCTGGGCCCTCGGCTTCCCCAGCAGTTCACACCCCTCCTTCCACCCCGGGCCTCTGGGTTGGGAGGGGTCACGACGCACAGCCCGGCCCTGGCTGTGCACGACGAGGCCGCCGGGACCCTCGCCACCTGCTCCAACCACGGCTCTCGCCCCCTCGCACTTGCTCATTCACCGTCGGCATCGCCCAGCCATGGCCCGTGAGTCTCCGCCCCTGGTGTTTTCCAAACTTCCGTGGCAATCACCGGGCCTGGGACCCGCAATAAACATGCGGATAAGCAGGCCTCTCCTCTGCGAATCCTGACCGTGTCGGCCGGGGTCTGGCCCCACAACCCATTTGCATTGCTGTCCTGACGGACTCTGGCATCCAGGCCAGTTCAGGAGCGAGTGCCTAAGGACCCCCGCGCCCTGACATCCGGTGTGGTGCGCACACACACGCACGCACACACACATACACACACACACACGCACCCTCGCTCACACACGTACACAGCTCAGCCCCTCGGGCCCTGCCGGCATGCCCCGCTGGGCCCCTCAGCCTCCAATTCATCAAAGCTAATGACGGTCCTTTTTTTTTTTTCTGATTTGCAAGCGATTAGTTTTAATTTGGGGACAATTAGAGGTAAGAGCAGGAGGCATCTGATCTTGATTAGAAGCAGGGAGAGGGCCGGAGGGGCCCCACCTCTAGCCCGCCGGACCCTGGCCTGCACGCAGGTTAATTTATATAGTCACTGGTGGTGGGGGGGGGGCAGACACTGGCCTCTGTGCCCGAGGAGAAGGTTCAAAGGTTTTCCGGGGGCTGCCAGAGGCTGTGCTCTGCTCCCGGATTCCGAGGGCCAGCCTGACATGAGAGGGGAGGGCCTCTGTCCCGCCACTGGCCCCCCCACAAGAAGGTAGAATTGGCATTTGCTAAGCAGCTGCTGTGGGCCGCACCTTATGCTATGCAGAGCAAAGGTGGTCTAGACCCAGCGTCTGCCCGTGTGCTGGCCCAGCTGGAAAGGCCAAAGCATGAACAGCTACATGCCTCCTGGTGCTGGAGGTGCCTCTGCACAGGCCAAGGGGCTCCCAGGCCCGCATCTGGCCCCCAGGGGACACTCACAGAGGTAACGGATGAGACAGCTCATTGATAATTCGAATCTCACACTCATACCAGGGTCAAGCTCCCAGTCAGTCAGAGCCAGAGCCGGACAGAGCGAAGCAGCAGCCGTGAACCACCCAGGTGGGGGCAGGAGAGGTATCAGGGAAGGCTTCGGGGAGGAGGTGATGTCTGGGCAGGACCTGGAATGATGAAGGGACCCGCCCCCCAACAAACCCCAGCCTCTGTGAAGTGTCCTCTTGGGCGCTGGTGGGCCTGGTGTCCTTCTGTGGGGCCAGTGACGCCTCTCTTCATGCCTTGGTCTCTTTCTGGAACAAGAGGGGAAGGGTGAAGGCCACAGCCTCTCAGTAGAACATGGCCCCGAGGGGGCCCAGGAGCTGGTGGAAGAGAGAACCTAGGGGGACAGGAGTCCAGGCCTGTTGGCTCGACACCCCATCCTTAGCTACCAAGCTGTGGAGAGCTCAACGTCCCCTCGAGGGACTGTGGGTGGGGGATCTGTTCAGCTCAGCTGGGGGGTGCCACGTGCCAGGCACCGCTGAGGAGGGGCTGAGAGTAACGCCCCAGCTGCCATCAGTGTCCCCGTGGACAGGAGCTGACGGCCCCAGCCTGTCCTCCTCGGCCCGTATGGCGTCTCCACGTCTTACTGGGGAAACTGAGGCTGGGAGGGCGGAAAAAGCCAATGGCCACATGTTCATCTGCTTCAGCTGCCATACCAAACGGGCCCCACCTGGGCCCGGGATGTCCCTCCACATCCAACAGTGTCCCTCCTGCCTCCTTGGTTTTCCAGCTAATCTCAGTGTCCCCCCCTGAGGGACTCGTGTCACCACCTCAGCTTCAGAGGTGAAAATGGAGGCTCAAGATGGAAGCGACTGGCTCACTGAGTGCTGGCAGGGAGGAGCCTTGAACTTGAGGCCCAGAGCTTCTGTGTATCTGCCCGCTTCCTGCTGCTTCGGGAGCAGCAGTTTGGCTGCTGTTCCCCGGCTCAGGCTGCCATCCCGGGCGGCCACACTCCTGCCCGGGGCCGGCCTCGTCCCGGGGGCAGGGGCACCTTCTCAGAGACGCCCGCTAGCGGTCACTGCGGGGGCACCAGCCAGGAAGGGCTTCCTGTCTCTCAGAACACCGTCCCGTCCTCGTTTGGGACTCCACTGCCCCCTCTGCCCACCAGCAGCAGCAGCAGCAGCGTGCCGGCAGGGCTGCAGGGGGCCGGGGGAGGAGGCCAGCCTGGGAACAGGGTTCTGAGAACGGAGGGAGGGGTCTGGTGGTAAAAGCACGGGCTGCCTGTGCACCAGAGGCCAGCGGTCTCCCCCGCGGGTCCTAAGGGCGGCCCGGGAGGCCCACCCCCAAGACCAGAAGCCGCTGCTCTTAGAACAACGGAGCTCAGGCTTCTGTCGTGCCCTGGGGCCCATCACCTCCATTTGAAATGAGGAAATGAAATCACAGATTTTAAAAAATAAGAGGCAGATGCCAGAGCCTCCAGAACAGGGAACGTTGGGTTCGTTGCGTTTATGGGGAACTGGGTGAGAACGTCGGTGGGCCTGAGGAGGTGTAGTTGGCGGCGGTAAACTGAGAAACGCGCACGGACCGCCCGTATCCACAGTCATGCTGACCCGGAGAACCGTCCTGAGAATGCAGGTGTCCATCCGCTCAGTGTGGACCCACCGCGGCTTGTTTAGGGTTTGCTCCGGGAAAGGCCTTGTGGGTGACTGATGCCCGTGCAAGGTGGGACGAGAGGTTCCTCAGAGGGGGAGGAGCTCTGAGGGAAAATCCAGGAATTGAAATCCTGTCATCTCAGGGGGCTTCCTGGAGGAGGTGGCTTTGGAGGAAGAATCAGATGTGGGCATGTGCAGGCAGGAAAGGAGAGGATTTGGCGGAGAGGACTTGACAGAGAGGGCGCAGCACGAGCAAAGGAGGGGAGATGAGGCAGCGTCGGCTAGCGGCAATGCCGGGAGCTGTCCAGGGCCGCCGGCAGCCCGCGCTTGGGAAGAGGATTCCTGGGGAAAGGGGAGCCCGGAACCACGCTCTGGAAGGCCCTGGACGCCGCGTTCAGGGTCTGGGTTTTATTCGGTAAGCCGAAGGGGGGACACCCTTCGATCCCACTTGCGTGCATTTGCATGGGGGTGCAGTTCACAGAGTACTTCCTTATTCGAATCTCAAAAGCAAGACAAACAACCACACAACATGCCGTGGGCCAGCGTCACAACTGTCACCCTGGTTTCAGAGGGGAGGAATGGGACTCGGGTCCACGGGAGGACCCGGAGCTGGTGGTTCTCAAACCTCGAACCTGCAGGTGGCGGTCCGTCCCGTGGCAGAGCCCAGCAGGTGCGGATCGGGGCGAGAGGGGCCCACACGGTCTCATTTCTGCCGGGAGGAGGAAGCCCTCCTGCCACTGTGTGGAGCGGGGGGCCGGGGGGTGGGGGGGGGGAGCTGGGGAAAGGGGAGACTCAGACAGGGTTACAAAGTCACAGCAACCGGAGCGAGGCCAGAACCGGCGCAGGGGCCTGGGGGTGGAGGACGGGGGCCGCCGTGGACGTACCAGCCACCGAGAGGTGGGCCTGCTCGAACTCGGCAGGATCCTGCAAGGATGGGGGGCGGGGCTGAGAGGAGGGGGAGGTCAGGCCCGAGGCCCACCCTTGGGCTGGGGAGGCTGAGGATCGCCTTCCCCCGCACAGAGAGCGTGTGGGAGGAGCAGGGAGCAGGGGGAAGACATGGGACCCGGTGACCCTGCCCCCTCGGCGGCGGCTGCACCGGGAAAGGGCTTGGGTTGGAGGGTCACGGGGTTCCAGGCTCATCCTGCTGCGGCCCCTTCCGGGGAAAGTTACTTAAGCGTCCTGCAGCTTTATCTGTAAGATGTAAAAAATAGGTTCTCCAAAAAAAAAGATGTTATTGATAAAAAACTGGTTCAATCAGTGGAGATTGCAATCACATTTTCTCAAAGGATGGATCGGAGGATCAGACAAGCTAATGCTGGCCGAGGCTCCGTGAGGAGCTCACGCGAGGGTCTGCGCTCCCTCGGCCCCTCGCTCCGCCGGCAGCCCTCTGCACCGACTTCCGTGCATCGTCACCATGGCACCCCGAGGCCACAGAAGTCTTATACTCGTTGTACAGATGAGGACGCAGGGGGAGAAAACCTCTTTAGAGCTTTACGACGCTTTGTGCTGGCATTAACTTCCCCCTGCGTGGCGGATAGAGAGATGCAGCAGCAGTGAGGGAATGAACACACCTGCACAGGTGGAGCTAGGCTCAGAGCCCAGGCGGCCTGGCCCTGGGCCGCCCCAGGACCTGGAGCCAGGCTGGGCACTGCCCAGAGTGGGGTGCATGGCCCTGTGGGAGGGTGGCAGGCCGGGGTGTCCTCAGGTCCCAGCGCAGCCCCTCCTGACCACTGTGGGGTCTCTTCATTCTGTCTGTCCCCAGCCTCCGGCCGCTCCCACCCAGCCAGCCCCAGTCCGCCGGGGCCACAGGCCAGCCCGGTGCTGCCGATCAGCTACCGGCTGTCGCACACACGGCTGGCCTTCTTCCTGCGGGAGGCTCGGCCTGCGCCGCCTGCGGCCGCCAACAGCTCGCTGCAGCGCTCCGAGCCCTTCGTGGTGTTCCAGACCAAGGAGCTGCCGGTCCTCAACATCTCCCTGGGGCCCTTCAGCACCAGCCAGGTGGTGGCCCGGGAGCTCCTGCAGCCGTCCAGCACCCTGGACATCCCTGAGCGCCTGACGGTCAACTGGAAGGTGCGAGCCTTCATCGTCCGCGCCCGGGTGCCCGCCTCCCAGCCGCTGGCCCAGGTGCTGTTCTACGTAGCCGGCCGGGACTGGGACGACTTCGGCGTCACCGAGCGGCTGCCCTGTGTCCGCCTGCATGCCTTCCGAGATGCCCGGGAGGTCAAGAGCTCCTGCCGCCTCAGCGGGGGCCTGGCCACCTGTCTTGTGCGGGCCGAGCTGCCCCTGGCCTGGTTCGGGCCCCCGGCCCCGGCGGCGCCGCCCACCGGCCGGCGCAAGTCTCCAGACGGGCTGGAGCCCGAGCTGGCGGGGGAGAGCCAGCAGGCGGAGCTCTACTACACCCTCCATGCCCCAGACGCGTCCGGGGGCTGCGGGGCCTCGCGGCGCGGAGCCGGGGCCGCAGCGGGGACGCGGGCCGAGAGCCCTACCCAGCACCCCCTGCTGCGCATAGGCAGCATCAGCCTGTTCCGCCCACCGCCCCGGAGGCCGCTGCAGGAGCACAGGCTGGACAGCAACCTGATGATCCGCCTGCCGGACCGGCCGCTCAAGCCGGGGGAGGTGCTCAGCATCTTCCTCTACCTGGCCCCCAACTCCTCCTCTCCGGCCGGCCCCAGCGTGGAGCATTTCACACTCAGGTAGGCGGCTGGGGCCCGGGTCTGCCTTCCCCACCCAAGGCCACGTGCACATCTGACCCTTGGCGGGGGGTTCCCCTCGCCTGCCTGCCCAGCACCCCAACCCCAGCTCCCCCCCTTTACCGCTTGACTGGCCTCAGGAAGGTACCTCAAGTATCTGAGCCTCGGTGCTGTCTTCTGATGGCCACAGACATCTCCATCTCCGCCCGGCCATCTCGGTGTGTCCCAGGAGTGACACCTGGTAAAGGAGAAATGCCTGTCTTCATGCTCATGCATGTCCCAAAGGGTCGAACTGGGGCTGGCAGGGCCCTTCGGCATTGGCTGGTTCAGCCCTCCCATCTTACAGATGAGGAGACCGAGGCCAGAGAGGAGAAATGGAGTCGGGAGAGCGGGTCCCTACGGCGGGCCAGAAGATGAACAGGCGTGTGTGTGTGTGTGTGTGTGTGTGTGTGTGTGTTTGGGGAGAGTGCCAGATCCTAGAGTTGTTAGAAGAACTTTCAGGAGTTCCAGCTCTTTCTAATACCCCGAGAAGGATATGGTTCACAGACCCAGAGATGCCTTAAATTGGATCGCATCCCCACCAAATGTAACGATGTGAGGCAGCGGGAATCCACGGTTGAGCCACGGGTGGGTGACTCATAGGAAGACCCCGCCCAAATGCCCCTCCCAGCCCAGGCACCTGCGGTAGGACCTGGAGCCTCACCGGGAGCCTCCACCTTCTTTAAGTGTCACCCCCTCTCCTGAGCGGACTACCTCAAAGTTCAAATATTCCCCGAAAGGATCATATCTGATTCCGTGACCAACACCTGACTACGAAGGAGTTGGGTCAGTCCTCAGAGATCTTGGGTCGCATCAATAGGGATAGAACATGTAGAATGAGGGAGGTGATAACCAATCCTGCTGTAGTCAGTGTTACCTAGAGCACGGCTGGGGTGTTATATTTAGTATGGGACAGTACATCACATATGTCCAGCGTCCAGGGGAGGGTGACCAGAATATGAGTGACTCGAAACCGTGGCAGAAAGCAGCGAGCAGTCGGAGGAGCTGGAGATGTCAGGCCTGGAGAAAACAGGACTCAGAGAAGCCTGCTCGCCTCCCCGGCTTTCGGAAGAGCTGTTGCAGCCCCGAGGGAGGAGGCTGCTCTCTCTTGTAGCAGCAGACCCCATGGCGGCTGTGTTCCAGCTGAACATGGGGGAGAGGTTCGAACCCGTAGGGGCTGTCTGAGAGTGGAATGGGACCTGTGCAGACACAGTGAGCCCCATGTCACGGAGGTGCGCAGGCAGAGGTCAAGGCTTGGCAGAGGCACGGTGGACGTGATCGCAGCTCCCACCGAGGGCCAGAGGTCATAGCCACGTGACACCAGGCTCCCCGGGGTTAGTCCCCAGCTCTGAGCCGAGGCCCAGGGCAGCTTCCTCCCCTGCTTCCCCTACGACCAGCTCCAGCCTCGGGGTTGTGACCAGAGGGTCAGCCACTGGGGTCCCGGGCTGACCCCTTTCCCCTCTTCTTCCTCCCCCTTTGTCCCAGGGTGAAGGCCAAGAAGGGCGTGACCCTTCTAGGCACCAAGTCACGGAGTGGCCAGTGGCACGTGACCTCGGAGCTGCTGACCGGGGCGAAGCACTCAACAGCCACCGTGGACGTGGCCTGGGCCCAGGGCACACCCCTGCCCCCGTGGTGAGCTGGGGTGACAGCTCTGCCCAGGTTTTGGCAGGACGGGCACCCGGAGGACTGGGGTGCCCCTGGGGAGGAGGCCAGGCCTGAGGAAGAAGGGCTGGAGCTTAGTCTATGGGGAGCCTGAGTCCTCAGGGGCCACCTCGGGTGGTGGAGGAGACACAGAGGACGGGCTGCCGAGGGGGGCTGGGCTCCCCACGGCCGGCGAGGGGCGGTCTCGGAGCTCCCGAGCTGCTGCCAGCCCTTCCCTTCCGGCCCTGCCTCCTTCCCCACCACAGGGACGGCCAGGGGCCCCTGGAGATCCTGCAGCTGGACTTCGAGATGGAGAACTTCACCAGCCAGTCGGTCAAGCGCAGGATCATGTGGCACATCGACTACCGGGGCCACGGCGCGCTGCCGGAGCTGGAGCGGGCGGTCACCGAGCTGACGGTCATCCAGCGGGACGTGCAGGCCATCCTGCCCCTGGCCATGGTGAGCAGGGCGGGCGGCCGGGCCGGCACGTGCACCTACCTGGCTCTCACAGGCGCACGTGTGACGGGACTGTGCACGGCTGAGTGTGGGTGCGGATGAACGCACACACACGTGTGAGCCAGTGCCCGAGTACGTGACGCCGCCTGAGCTTGCACACACCCTGTAAAGCTGTGCGGGTGCACAGGGGCAGGCGGTGCTCCGGGCCTGGGGCTGGAGGCGCACAGCAGATGCGGGGGGTGGGGGCGGGGGGCGGGGGGGGGAAGTTACCCACGGAGGGACGACTCAGGGGAGGTCTCCTGGAGCAGAGTCGTCATACAGTCGAGGGTCACGTGGGGGAGGGCTCCTACAATCAGAGAAGATGAGGAGGGTGCGCCAGGCAGGGGATCCCGCAGACCAAGCTGCGGTAGTGGGAATGCGAGTAGCTCATCCGAGGGGGCAGTGGATGTAGGAAGGGCGCACTGGGGTGGGAAGGCTGGGACGGGCAATCTGGTGCACGGCCAGGGGAACGTGGGGCCAGCCCGGGGACCTCTTGAACGGCCGGGCAAATGTGTTGGACTTTCCTCTGCGGGCCCTGGGAAGCACGGGTGGTGTTGAGAAAAGGTGGTAGGAGACTGGGGAAGGGCTGCTTTCTGCAAGCAGGTGAGGTCAGCCACAAAGGCTGCTGCCAAAGCCCCAGGTTGCTGAGCACCTGAGAAGGTGCGTGAGGCTGGGCGGATGCACCTCTCGGCACACGTGTGCGGGGGTCCCCAGGGAAGGGTGGGCCTGGGCTGGGGGGTCCTGGGAGGGCAGAGATCTGCAAGCCCCCGGACTCCACAGAGCCCCATCCTTCTCTCCCTGCCACAGGACACTGAGATCATCAACACGGCCATCCTCACTGGCCGGACAGTGGCCATCCCCGTCAAGGTCATTGCCATCGAAGTGACGGGCCTCGTCCTAGATGTGTCCGCCCTGGTGGAATGCGAGTCTGACAATGAGGACATCATCAAGGTGAGCTCCCTGGAGGGCGGGGGGGGGCCCTGGGAGGAAGGCCTCAGACCTTTGAGGGGGGAGCCCCATGCCAGAGGGGAAGTCACACCCCATGTGTGTCCCCTTGGTAGGCAAGAAAACTGGCAAATTGGGGGCCAGAGTGGGGAAGAGCTGGGGGCACCCCTTGTTCAGCCTGAGTGGGGTGAGGCGAAGCCCTGGGCACGGCCCTGCCAGTCCTGGAGGGCTGCCTGTAGGAGTGTGGAAGGGACTGCTTGGCAGACCACTGGGAGAAGGCAGCACCAGCAACCTGAACTCAGTCCAATCTGGCAAGCCATCACGGAGCCCCTGCCAGGCGGCAGACCCTGCGCAAGGCAATGTGGGGCACGGGCTGGGCCCCTCAGAAGCAAGCCCCGAACCCCATGGCTGGTTCCACGTGGAGGAGCACCAGCACAGAGAGGAAGCTTCCAGAAGCATGTGAGCTAGGCCAGGAGTGAAGGTCGTACAAGGAAGGACCTTCTCTGGGCCCCGGGTTCTCCACGACCCAGAAAACAGGGCACTGATCTGACTCAAATGGCCCAGTTGCCACCTCCCCAGGAAGGCCTCCAGATTTGCCCCTTCCCCTGGCTTGGGACAGTGGCAGAGGCAGGAGAGCGGGCAGTCAAATGCGGGAGGGTGTCCAGCCCAGGGACCTGGGGGTGGGTGAGCTGTTGCCATGCCAGCCTCCAGAAGGTGTCCAAATCAAACGATTAGACACCAGAATCTGTTCCCTGTTCCCGTCAATCCTTCAGCTTGAAGGAGAGCTGGAGGAGGGAGATGTTGGTGTCCTCATTCCAGCCCACTGGGGCTGACCCGGAGTGCACGCTGCCCTGGGTCCCACGAGGTCTAGGGAGCCCACAGCTCACCTCAGCTGTCCACCCACCCAGGAAGAAGTCCCTCCAAGAGAGCCAGAGCAGATGGCTCGGTCCCAGACCTTGTTACCCCCGGGAGTGGAAGCCTTGCCCGGGCCCACGGGGCCCTCCACCGCCAGCAGGCTGGCGCGGGAAGAACTGGGCCCACTCCCAAGAGCCCAGCACCTTTCTCTGCCACGCAGACCCCCCCCCCCGCACGCTGGCCCCAGAGAGACCAGAACAAAGCCGTGATGGCTTAGATACCAAAGGGAATCAGCAAAGATTCTAAATGGAATTCGTTTCCACTCTCAATGAAATGCACTCCAGTTCTCTATGGAGTTTGCCAAGATCCTAGGCAGAACGTGCCAGGCTTCGGATGAAACACTCTGCCTTCCGAAGAGCGGAGCGAGCATCCTAGCAGGGGCTGGTGTTCCGCTGCCACCCACCCTCCCGAGACGGTCAGGAGAGCAGGCCGGAGCCGGGACAGCCCAGGGGCTCATCTCCACACGGGAGCCCCTCGCCCCAGCACCCTCTGCCTCCCTGAACCCCCACCAGATCCCTCAGGGTGTCCTCAGCCCACGGGCTGCCTCCAAATGCCAGGACGTGCACCCACGGGCGTGCACCAGCAGGAACACCTAAACGCATTGTACACGGCGTTCACTCCAGGTGTGCACGTGGGCACATTTGACACGTACACCCAACTGCGTCTGCCGTGAAGAGCTGGCAGCGACGCCTCTGTGAGTGGGCGCAGGCGTCCACCCAGATGTGTTCAGTGGGCATATGCCCATCCGGGGAGCCGCCAAGATGCAACTCGGTGCCCAGGCGGGCACGCATTTGCAAAAGCTGCAGCCATTGGTGGCGATGCTCCACCTGTCCGCCCTTGGGGCTCTCCGGTCCTGATTTTCCCTTGCCCTGCCCTCACTTCCGTCCCTGGCTGGAGCAGCCCCATCGCCTGAAATTAACCGGTGCCCACTGTCCTGGGGCTGCAGGCCAGAGAGGCTGGGAGGAGCCATGGGCCTGCCCATCACCCCCACCTGCCTGACCTCCTCTGAGCTAGCTGAGCACCGGTGTCCTACTCAGGGCAGGCTGCCCTTCGGTTCGGTGGAGGACTCCACCTGCCAGACGCCAGTGCCAGAGCCCAGGTGGCCACGCGGAGCAGGGCAGCCTGTCCTGAGGACCCTCAGCCTGAGGGCTCCGCCAAGGAGTGGTCTGGCGCACGGGAAGCAGCCCCTTGTAAAAACGTTTGCATGCAGGCTCCTTGCCAGGGACACCACCTCCCACTGGAGCCCCTCACAGGTGATCCTGGGGAAAGCCGAAGGGAGGCAGGGGCACCAGAAGCTGACACCTCCCGGGGGAATTACATTAGGCGCCATCTCCCACCTGGCCCCTCCCCTTCAGTGACTGGCACTTCCTCTGCCCAATAGCCTTCCAGCCCTGCCTGTCAGACTGACTGCAGCCCCTTGCACGGTCCCACAGGATGCCCTGTAGGACGAGCCATGCCAACACCCTCTCCCCCGCCCCCCAGGTCTCCAGCAGCTGTGACTACGTGTTTGTGAGCGGAAAGGAGTCTCGCGGGTCCATGAATGCCAGGGTCACCTTCCGCTACGACGTCCTCAGTGCCCCCCTGGAAATGACGGTCTGGGTCCCCAAGCTGCCTCTGCACATCGAGCTCTCGGACGCCCGCCTCAGCCAAGTGAAGGGCTGGAGGGTACCTATCCTCCCTGACCGGAGGTACAGCCCCTCCACACACACGGCAGACTGCACGTGGGACACGCGCGGGTGACACGGCCCCGGCACGCAGTCTGGTCCGCATGTGTGTATAAGTGCCCAGAGGTACACGGTCTGAGGTTGGTTGTGCGATCAACAAACTGTTAGTGGGTGGCTACTATATGCCAGGCACTGTCGGGTATGTGAAATATGGGATATGTGTGTGGCCAGTGTCTTACTCCCCCCAGCTCTGGGTCCACCAGGGAAACCATCATGTATGTGCCACAGAGCATGGTGGCTGCAGGAAGCAGGGGACTGAGTGGCACAAAGGAGGGAACCACCTCTTCCTCTGGGAAGTCAAGGCAGACTTCCTGGAAGAGGTGGCGCTTGAGCTAAGTCTTCAAGGATAAATGGAAAGGAGCTGTCTGAAGAGCAGACGTGCCCCAGCTCGGGCACACCCAGGCACTCGGGTGAGCACACCAGCCAGGCACACAGTGACCCTCACGAGGCCCCCTCTCTGGGGGGCAGGCTCACACACCTGAGTGCCCAACTCTGGGGACATGTACCTCTGAACTTGGCGCACCCCCCTCACCCCCTCATTGCTCCGAGTGACAAAAAGCCCCGGGGAAGAGAAAGAGGGGTGGGGCTAGGGGGAGACGCAGGCAGCCAAGTGAGAGCTGGACGCAGTTCAATTCTGCAGAGACTCAGAAACGCACGGCGGTGCGGACCGAGCCTCTCCGACTTCCCTGTGCACACGACTCGCCTGCGGATCCCGTCCAAATGCACATTCTGTGGTTTGAACCAGCTCCTGGGTGATGCTGCTGCTGCTTTGAGTGGTGAATGCTGAAGCCAGACAGCTGGGTTGGAAAACTCACCTCTGCTCTTCCCTAGCTGGGCCGCAGTGCCTCAGTTTCCTCTTCTGTAAAGTCGCCACGTTGACACCTCACGGGGTTGTTGTGAGGGTTACCTGAGTTAACACAGGAAAAAGAACCCTCTGTGTGAGTGCAGATGCTGGCGGCTGATTCTTCCGAGCACCGGCAAAGCGGCAGCCACACCCTCCACCCCGAGCCTCTCTGGGTTGCAGCATTTTGGGCAACCTGGATAGGCCGAGAAGTCTGCCAATCATCAGGTCCTCGTTTCCTTTTGCTCACTGGTTCATCCCCCAGTTTTTCCCCCTCCTTTTTGCGTTTAACTATAAGCAGCAAGAGAAACCCAGGCTGCCCCCTCGACACTTGGCTTGGCATTCTCTGCTAAATGTCCAGGTGGGTCACTTACACGTCGTTTGCCACCCAGTGTGGGGCCCCGCCTGCTGGCCCAGCCTGCTGGCGCTCTGTCACAGGCATCGCCATTGCTCCGGCTTAGAGCTGAGAGCAGGGCCTGGCACGTGCTTCGTGCTGAGAAGCGGCAGCACTTGTTAGGGTTTGACGCCAGCTTTTCTCAGGAGCCAGTGGAGCCGAGCACAGGCGGAGAGGGACCAGGGAGGGTCAGGGAGGCGCCTTTCTGGTGGGGGAGACGCCTGGAACTCCCAGCTCCATGCTTGTCAGGAACAGGAGTGAGCCCCGGAAAAGGCTTCACAGCCTCCACTCATGGGGGGGCTGGAGAAGGGCCAGCAGGGCCAGGGGGAGGGAGGGGCTCAGCAAGGTCCTTGCCAGGGTGAGGCGCCCTGACCCCGTGCCCCCACCCTAGGTCAGCCCGGGAGAGCGAGGACGAGGAGGAGGAGGAGGAGGAGCGGCGGCAGAGCCCCAGCCGGGGCTGCGCCCTGCAGTACCAGCACGCCACGCTGCAGGTCTTCACCCAGTTCCACACGACGTCGTCCGAGGGCACCGACCAGGTGGTCACCATGCTGGGCCCGGACTGGCTGGTGGAGGTCACCGACCTGGTCAGCGACTTCATGCGGGTGGGTGACCCCCGAGTGGCACGCATGGTGGACAGCAGCACGCTGGCCGGCCTGGAGCCGGGCACCACCCCCTTCAAGGTAAGCGCGAGGGCAGCGCCGGGAGCCGTGGTTACCGGTGGGCGCACGTCCTCAGGTAACAGGATTACCTGGGCCTCCACCCCTGGGGGCGGCCCCAGCTGGCCCCCCAAACACACCGTCTTCTCCACCTGCCCCTCTGCCTGAAGTTGCACCACCAGAGGTCAAGGTCCTTTAGCTCCACCTGGGTGAAAGGTCTCCCTCCAAGCCTCCTCGGCGCTATCAGCCGTGCATCACTGCGTGGGCCCCGAGAGCGGGTGTGGGTGAGGAGGGAGGAGCAGGTGTGGGTGAGGAGGGAGAGCCGGGGGTGGGGGGGAGGCTCAGGCAGCCTAGAGGCCAGAAAGGGAGTTCAGGATCCAGGAATTCAACCCCGACCTTCCCCCTTGGCAACTGCTGCCTGAGTGGAAATCCCCGACCTAGGAGACGGTGAACAGTGACCCGTGGGCTGGAGTCTGCTTGCAGAACACTTGTTTATAAAAACAACTGATCCTCCGTTGTAAAATTGGGAAGTTCCTCGGTTTTTGGAAAACGGGATTTCTAATTTTACAAAATATGACTCTGGCAACACTGGGCCTGCCTTCCCACCTGGCGATAAGCTACCCGAGTCAGTGCTGGTATTGCCTTTACATGAGCGTGAGTGCCCCCATTTGCCACAGTCCCCACCGCTCCCTTTTGCCTGCCTGACATTGAGGTTGGCATTACCAGTGGCCATTTATCACTGCACAGGCCTGTCGTTCTCCTTAAAACCCACCCAGCTCTCTCATCTGTGCTTCTGCGAGCCGCTGACCCTTACTTGGCCCCTGGACCTTGGTTCCCAGGTGCAGACCCAAGGCAGAGCCCCCCAGCCTGCCCCGCCCTGCCCCCTGGGCCTCTCCTCCAGCAGCACTGGGACCCCTCCCTGGTTGCTGATCCTGGGGCTGCTGCTGTCCCGGCCTTCATGCAGCCCTGCCCCTCTCTGCCTCAGGTGGTGTCCCCACTGACAGAGTCTGTGCTCGGGGAGACGCTGCTGACGGTGACAGAGGAGAAGGTCAGCATCACGCAGCTGCAGGCCCAGGTGGTGGCCAGCCTGGCCCTCTCCCTACGGCCCAGCCCCGGGAGCAGCCACACCATCCTGGCCACCACGGCCGCCCAGCAGACCCTCAGCTTCCTCAAGCAGGTAACCGGATACCCAGCCTGCCAGCCTGGGGGCTTGCAGTGTGGAAGGCACTCACGGGCCCTGACTTGCCTCTGTGCCATGAGTCCTCAAATTAGGGCTCTAGAGGATGGAAGCTCTGTCTACCCTCCGTGCCCACCACCTGCTCCAACCCACCCCCTGCCACCTACATGGGGAGTCTGGCCACGGTCTCCCTTCCTGCGCCTGCCAATCCTGGGAGGTCTCCCCTCCCGGATTCTCCCAGGGCCCATCCCCTCCGCCTCTGCCCCCAGGAACTACCCTCACCCGTTTCCGGAGGCCCAGCTACAGCCTCCGACCCCCAGACATGCCAGGGCACTGGCTACAGGCACAGGTGGGGAGGTGACAAGCGGGAGTGCAGGGGTGAGAGGTGGGTGTCAAACACCACACCAGGAGTTCTGAGCCAGAAGTCCTCTGCCCCCAACTCGCCCCAGGGCCCCAGGCCAATCCCATCTCTCTGGGCCCTGCGTCCTCACCTGCGGGGGCTGCAATTTAACAAGCAGAGGAGACTGGGGTTGGGCACGTTTGCTCAGCCTCCAGGTGTCTGATGGGGAGGATCCCCAGGTCAGGCATGGAGATGTGGAGTGACTTCTGCAGCAAAAGGGACTTGAGTTAGACCCAAGGCAGAACTTACCCTTAGCTCAGCAAGGGGAGAAGGGTGGAGTGGGCACAGAAAGTCTCCAGGTGGTAGGAGGCCATAACATCCCCTGTGCCCTCTGCACCACCTCTGGGGCAGGAGTCCCACGCGATCACCCCCGAGCACCTGCCACCTGCCAGGCACAGTCCCAGCCCTGGGGATGCTGCGGGAGCCAGACCCCTCGGTCCCTGCCCTCACAGAGCTCAGCATCCAACAGGAGAGCCAGCCAGGACCAGCTCTCTGACTCCTCCCCCTCCTCCTCCTCCTCCTCCAGGAAGCCCTCCTGAGCCTCTGGCTCTCCTACAGTGACGGCACCACCGCCCCACTCTCCCTCTACAGCCCCCGGGACTACGGGCTGCTAGTGAGCAGTCTGGACGAGCGGGTAGCTACAGTGACCCAGGACCGGACCTTCCCGCTGGTGGTGGCGGAGGCCGAGGGGGCGGGGGAGCTGCTCCGAGCGGAGCTCAGCATCGCCGAGAGCTGCCAGAAAACCAAGCGCAAGAGCATTCTCGCTACGACCCCCGTGGGCCTGCGCGTGCACTTTGGGCGGGAGGAGGAGGACCCCACCTACGACTACCCCGGCCCCAGCCAGCCGGGGCCCGGTGGGGGTGAGGACGAGGCCCGGGGAGCAGGCCCGCCAGGCACCAGGGTGTCCCCCGCGGAGGCCGCGGGGCTGGTCACCACCAGCCCAGCTGCTCCGCCCACAGACGACTTCCTGCCACTGCCCACGGTCTTCCAGCAGATGCCGCGGGGGCTGACGGACCTGGAGATCGGCATGTACGCGCTGCTGGGCGTCTTCTGCCTCGCCATCCTCGTCTTCCTCATCAACTGCATCGTCTTCGTGCTGCGCTACCGGCACAAGCGCATCCCTCCCGAGGGCCAGACCAGCATGGACCACTCGCACCACTGGGTGTTCCTGGGCAACGGGCAGCCGCTGCGGGTGCAGGGGGAGCTGTCGCCGCCCGCGGGCAACCCACTGGAGACCGTGCCCGCCTGCTGCCACGGCGACCACCACAGCAGCGGCAGCTCGCAGACCAGCGTCCAGAGCCAGGTACACGGGCGCGGCGACGGCTCCTCTGGCGGCTCCTCCCGGGACCAGGCCGAGGACCCCGCCAGCTCACCCACCTCCAAGCGCAAGCGGGTCAAGTTCACCACCTTCACCACGCTGCCCACGGAGGAGCTGGCCTACGACTCGGTGCCCGCTGGCGAAGAGGACGAGGACGAAGAGGACCTGGGGTGGAGCTGCCCGGATGTGGCGGGCACCCCGAGGCCCGCTGCGCCCCCGAACCTGCACAATTACATGCGCAGAAACAAAGAGACGGCATAGAGGCTCCGTGGCCCCACGGGGTGGGGGCTGTGGGGGCCATAGCCGGGACCCCTGCTCACGCTGCGGCGGGCGGCTGACGTGGATGCTGCCGGCCCTGCCCCTGCAGCTCTGGGCTTCGCAGGGCCGCCACCTCCCTCCGCTGGTCCCTCCCGCTGCCTCCTGCTGACACCCTCGTCCGCTGCCGCCACTGCAGGAGGGGGGTGCCTTCCCGGGAGCCGGCAGGAGGAAGCCATCCCGGCCGTCCTTCCACACTCTCCAAACCTCCTCCTGTCCTAGACGAACCTGTCCCGAGAGTGAGGCTCAGAGGCCAAGCTGGGGCCCAGGTGGGCCCGCCCTGTGCGCCGCCACGGCCTCCCGTGCCCCCTGTGTTCCCTCCGTGCTGGGGGCTCCGTGGGGTCTTGTGTCACAAACTGCACAAAGACTTTTCTCAACCACTATTCAGGGATTTCCGTCCTGCAGGGCGGGGAGGCCACGGCTGCCTGCCCTGCCGAGGATCTTGCTGTGGACAAAACGTTTGCAAGGTGGGGGAACACTTGTAGCATCTTTTGCCTTTCTGGGACCCCCGAGTCCCTCCCTGGGACCTGGGAGCTGACCGCAGAGGGACCTGTGGCCACGCCAGGCACCTTTCTCAGAGCCCAGGGCTCCCTCCTCTGGCCCCAAGGGCTATAGAAGGGGCCTGAGGTGGGAGGAGCCTGTGGGCCACCCCTCACCGAGCCACCGCCCAATGCACCATGGTCTGGGGGTGCCCAGTGAGGCCTGCATGCCTCCCGCCCACCCCACAGCAAGGCCAGCACCGCGCCTTAGCCCCTCCAGCCCTGCTGGCCACTCTCGCCTTCTCTGCAGGGGTGGCCCCCGGCCCCCCAGGTGGTGGGATCCAGTAGGAAGGGGAGAGAGGGCACCAGGGCATGCTGTGAAGGACCTCGGGGTGGGCAAGGCAAGGGGGGCTAGGGGGTCTCCCTACCCCGCCCCACAGCCACCGTTCTCTCGGGTTCTGCCCACCACTGTGTCCGGTTTTTCTTAAATAAACGCAGGCGACCAGAGTGGAGGCGGGGGCAGCAGCTCCCGGAGAACAGATGGTATACATGGTGGCTGGTTCTGTGTCTCTTCTTTATATGCACGCATGCACGCTGACCGCCTCACACACGTGTACACACGTGCACACTGCGGGCACACGAAATGACACGAAGCCCACACAGCCGAGCCCAGCTGCGGCCCTGCTCTTCCTCCTCCGACGCCCAGGCGCCTCGGGCCGCCGGTGCCGCCGGGTGCCCACGTCAGAGGATGAAGGGTTTGCTGACCCCGAAACCTGCCCTTACAAAGAGGTGCCTCTTCTAGGGGCCTGCTGGGACTGGCTCCGGATGGAGGGGCACCCTCAGGGCCTCCAGGTACATGCCTTGGGGTGAGAGGGGACAGGGCGCAGGCCTGGGCTCACTTACTGCCTTCGGCCCCCCTCTCAGAGGCCTCCTTCCTCCACGGATTGCAGCGGAAAGCCTGGTGGTCTGCACGGCAGGGGCCAGGCAGGAGAGAGCAAAGGTGGTTGGGTGTGCCCCTCCCCCACAGCGGGCGGGGGACTAGCCCCAGGAGGCCACTCCAGGGCATAAGTCACAGCCCCGGGGGGCACACCCAACAGGAGCACCTTACCTGACTGTGGAGACTGGCCAAGGCTGGCCTGGCAGCCCCCCGCCACCCCCGGGGACAGGTGGCCAGAGCAGCCGTCTTGGAGTGGGGAGAGGAGAGGGCACAGCAAGCGGTGTCTGCTGCAGAGCGGACCAGAGGCAGGACAGGCCGCCCCGGCACCTGCCCCAACGTGCCATTGCCACTTCGGAGGGCACCTGCCTTCCCCATCATCTGCTCGTCGCCAGGGGCGGCCCTGGGGGCCTGGTGAGCATTAAGTGCTGCCAGGTATATAAAGCTGTCTGCACGGTGCCCAGCAACAGCGGACGAAGCCCCTGGTACAGGCGACACATGGAGTTCCCTGCGTCCAGGTGTACTCTCCAGGCGAGGTGCGGCGCTGACAGGAAGGCTGGAGCTGGGCCAGCTCCGCCCAGCACGTGCGTCCAAAGAGGAAGAACGGGGCCGCCCCGCCGCCCGCCGCGGAGGGAGCTACAGGAAGCCACGCCCAGGGCGGAGCCGTGGGGGCCCGAACTGCTGAGGTCCGCAATTCCCAGATCGCCCCGGGACCTGCTATGCAAATGAGTTCCACAGCGACCTCCTAACAGCGGTTCCTAGTCCTCCGTCTTAACCCGCAAGCCTAGCGTCCGCAATGTTCAAGACCTGCTGGCCGACCGAAGTCCAAACGAAAACCGCAGATGGCTTTCTCACTGTTCCACATTTGGGGATTTTCTCTACCCTTCCATCGCACCACGTGATCGTGCAGAAAATCACGAGTTACAGCGAGGGGGAAGAGGACACAGGTGTGAGTCAGGAAGAGCGAATATTCTAGCTCCGGTGTGTGCACGTGGGGGGAGGGGTGCAGGTGTGAAAGGTGGAACACGGTTCCATTTGTTCATTCGGCACAGAAAGCTCCTACTGTGTGCCAGGCCCTGCCGGGGGAGGGGCCTAGCACCTCCCCTCCCTCCATACTCCCCCTACTGTGAGAAGGGGAGTATGGAGACGAAACTGTGGGCCTGTCCTCCAGGAGCCCCAGCTCCGCTGGGAAGACCGGCCGTCTGGGGGGGATGGGCGCTGCGTGCGCCGGCTCCGCCCGGGCTTGAGGGGGCACGAAGGAAAGGGGGAGACGTTTTCCAAACCGAACTTGCTGAGGACAGATCTAGAGACGCTCCAGGAAGGGCGAGCGGCGGCCGTGAAGGCCCGGAGCCGGCAGCCCTGTGCTCCCTCTGGATGCCCTGTCTCTGCGCATGCTCACCCCAGGCCTGGGACAGGAGTCCCGGCGGACGGGGAAACGCAGACACATCTGGGCCCCCGTATAGAGGCCAGAGGGGTGGCGGGGGCGGGGGGGCGGTCAGCATGGGTCCGGGCGTCGGGCTCAGACTCGGGGTTCAGATCCTGTCCCTCTCACTGGGGGAGGCAGGGAGTGGCAAGGAGCCCCATGAGGAAAATGCCACTCCAGGGGAGACCGTGGGTGCTCTCAAAAGGGTATCTGCCAGCATCCACACTGTCACAAACAGTAAAGTGGGGGCCCGCAGAGAGAAGCAGGTGGCCAGAAGGGACACGGCCGACCTAGGGGCAGAGCCAGAGCCCTGCCCGCTGCCCCGTCCGGTAATTCGTGTCCCCTCCTCTTCATTCCTCAGTCCCCCGTCCAAGTGCGAGAACTCAGAGGCAATTGCAGGAAACGGCAAGCCCTGACCCTCGAGCAGTTCAAGAGGGAGCAAGCGTGGAGGAGCGAGGCGGGACATTAAGTTAACAGCCCCTCTGGAATGGCCCTGGCACTGAACTCCTCTTTAAAAATTTGTCTTCAACCCTGAAAATGAATCGAGGGACCTTATAAAGAATAGTTATTGACAGAGAGCTGCTCTGGGAGCACCGGGGAGCCAGGCCCATGAATCAGCTTGCCAGCAAAATGAGGTTTCTCAGACAGCTGGGGCCGGTGGAGGCAGAGCGGGGGGATGCAGGGGAGCGGCCTCCAGCCTGTCCCCAGCCGGGTGCTCAGCCCCCTGCCCCAGCCCCGCACCCACCTCCACGCCCATCTTCGGCAAATACAGACCGGCCCCTCCCACGTGTCAGGCCCTGTGTCCCCCCCACCACCACCCCCAAGAGAAGGCTTCCAGCACGGGGAGCCAAAGGGAGAAAACGGAAAAATGCCATCAATGAGCCAGAGAAGGAAACTCCCTAGAAGGGGTGAGATTTCCTAAGACAGGTTGGCAGGGACTCCTGGGGTCCGACTGGGTGACCCTCGGCCAGTCTGGGCGACCCGCGCTGGACTCATCTCCCCTGTTGTGCGAACGTGGAAGTCGCCGCGGCTGGGTAGCATCCGCTGAGCCCCCGGAGGGGCCCCACCGTTTCAGCACCTGCATTGCCAACAAGCGTCTGGGGCCACAGGAATCGCCAGTCCCATTGTACAAAGGCGACAACAGGAACCCAGAAAGGACAAGTGACTTGCCCACGGTCTCCGGGCCAGAAGTGACCCGCACGCAGGCAGCTACAAACCTACCCGCTTCCTGCTGCACCCCAGAGCCACGCTGGCCACGGAAAGGGAATGAGGTTGGAGAGATTGGAGGTGGGAGGGGTCTCTAAAGATCCCACATGCTCCACGGTGGGGGCGGGCGGGGCCCCCACTGGAGGATTAGCCAGATCCTAGTCAGGCTTTGGGGTCCCGTGGGACACTAGGAGCACTGTGGCTGCCTCTCTGCCGTTGTTGGAGGCAGGGAACTTTCCCCTGCTCAGCTGGGAACTCCCTCCCCGTCGGTCACAAAAGCCAATCACCCAAGCCTCTCCCAGTCCCCCCTTCAGGCAGAGACCAGGCGGGGCTTCTTCCTGAGCAAGGCGCGGCGCCGGGCTCCTGGGGAGAGCTCGTGGCACAAGCAGAAACGCCCGGCGCAGGTCGCTGGGAGCAAGCCGGCGCCTGTCCTCTGCCGCAGGATGCTGGCTGCCCCTTCGGTGTCCCTGGGGGCGGGGCCTAAGCCAGAGAGCTGGGAAGCCGAGGCCATCCCCTCTGCGCCTACCCCTCCACAGCAGCACGGTGATGAAACCTCTGCCCCGCCTCCGACAGAGGGCCCAGCGCAGAGGAGGCGGGAGTATTCAATAACATTTTCTGAGAGCACACGACAAGCAAGCAATCACTTTAGGCCCATCGTTTCGTCGACCCTTCACAACAACCAAGCAAAGCAGGTGCTGCTATGATACCCATTTCACAGATGGCACAACTGGGGCTCAGAGGGGTGCTGTGACTTACCTCACACTGCCCAACACATGCAAACAGCAGGGCCAGGCTTCAAGCCCAGGTCGCATTGGCTCCAGTTTCCACGTCTTCACGCCGCCTTCCTTCGAGGGGACCTGGAGCTCGGGGAATCGTTCCGAAGCAGTGGCAAGACACCCAGCTGGAAGTCCAGGGCTTGGCGGGAGTCCCCACTCGGCCACGGGCTGGTCACGTGGCCGTGAGCCCGGCACTGCCTGTGTCTGAGACATGCCAAGACTGCCGGCCGGATTCCAGGGGCCAGATAGTCACTCCAGTGCCTTCAGTTCTCCGGCCTCGGGAGGTGAACCACGGGGCGCCACACGGCCCTGCCAGTTCACTCCTCCCCCTCGCCCTCCTAGAGAGGTCAGTGCTGTGAGAGGCGGGGCACCAGGCTTTAATGGCCCCCCCGCTGTCCTCCAAGCTTTGTCAGCTCTGCCATCCCTACTTACTGCCACCACTGGCAGTTGCCCCCAGGGGTTTAGGGCTTGCCTTGTTGTGGGTGGGGGGAGGGAGCAAAGGGGGGTGCGGGAATGATAACCACCCACGTGTGCCAGACGGCTGGCGAGTCTCGGGATGGAGACGGAGTTTGAACGGCCGAGTTGTCAGTCCCCTGCCCCGGGGTTGGGGCTCAGTCTGACGGAGGAGGCACGGATCCTGTTTTATGGGGGTCCCCCAACTTGACGGAAGAGGAACAGACCCTGTCTTACAGTAGCTCCCAGTCTGGGGGTGGGGGGCAGCAAGCCACCTGCCCTTGACAGATACTCAGTTTGGCCGGGTGTGCCCACACTGACCACACTCTGCAGAAACCACATGAAGCGTTCAGAGAAGCGTGCAAACAGTTGCACATGGGCGGGCGCACAGTAATGTACACCTGCACGCAGCCTACGGAGCAGAGGAAATGCGGAAGCCAGGCAGGTAATCCCGAAAGGCAGCCTGGAGGAGGGCTGCACGTGGCCTCGAGGGGAGGCACTCGTTAGGCAGGGCCTGCCAGGTGGCTGGGGAGTCAGGAACAGCTGCTTGGGGATGGGGGGTGGGGGGTGGGATGGATTGTCCTGGCTGCAGGGAGGGCGCCCTGCAGGGGCCTGGCTGAGAGGCGGGGGGGTGTGGGGGGAACAGGAGGAAGGGACCCTCCCTTGGGTGACCCCAGAGAAGCCCTGGGCTGCTGGGGAGGATGCCGCCGCCCAAGTATGGGGGAGGCCCGAGGGAGGGCCCCAACCCTCGCCA